TGCAGACTAATGGCTACATTGTGATTGCCAGTATGAGTAAAAGTGAGTGAGAGGGGTTATTATTGCATGGTAATGTGGATAATAGCAGACATTTAATTACAATAAGTGAGCACAGAAAAGATTTTCGTGTACTCAAACGAAATTATTAAAATATCACTTTAAATTTTTTTTTTATTCAATAGGCTTTATTAGCAGGACATTTGACGTGTGTTGCCAAAGCAGAATTACTATAATAACAATATTAAAGTGAGATGAGATGTTCCTTTATTGTTCCCCCGTGCAAAGAGCAGAGAAAGAATGTAATAAAATGAAAAATAATAAAGATAGGGTAATAAAGATATAAAATAAATACACTATATACAATAAGGTGGAATATGAATCAGCCTGTCTATATCTGTACATGTGCAATGTTTCGAAGTATTGCGCAAAAGAAGAGTTGTGCTTAACAAGGTTAACAGTTAAGTCTCAGTCAGTGGAGGTGGGAGGGTTAGAGTTAGGGTTAGTGTGGGTGTGGTGCTGTGGGGTGCTACAGTGTCACACTTTCTGTCTGTTCAGTGCCAAATATGTTTCTATCTTGTGTTGTGAGTGTGTAATATCATTCCAACAAGTAATGTGTTTTTCTTTTTCTTTAGTTATAATTTGGTTAGGTCTAATCTTAGTGATAGTGAAACTGCTCTGAGGCTGGCTGGGGTTTGTGATATCAGAAAGTGAAAGGTCAGCCAGCCCCAGGACCAGTTGGCTGAGGACACTCCTTCCTGGGTGCCCCCCTTAATGCAGAGTGGAGTTCCCTCCACACCCACGCTTGGCTGTGTGGAGTGTCAGCTAGAAGTGATGTTGAGGAATCATGATGCATGCACCAACAAATCATTTGCCTTGTTTACATCATTTTATTTGGATTTAGGAGCTTCCAAGAAGAGTTTGAAGACAGCGTGTATTTCTGTTTCACAGATATGGGGTGCTGCTGACCCAGCGCTTGAATGAGGAGACAGACAGGGAGCAGACGGTGGCTCTGCTGGACATGGTTGGCGCAGAGGAGGGACAGTACCAGCTGGGACTCACCAAGGTGCTGACCAACTCATAGCGCATCGCAAGCATAGCAACATGTAACAGAAGTTATCCCAGGACACTTTTCAAAATAGAGGTCTAGACCGAACTTCTTACAAAATTACCCAACAGTTCCCACCATGAGCAAGCACTTGGCAACGAGGGCAAGGAAAAACTTTCTTTTGAGGGGCAGAAACCTAGGA